GGTAGGTAGGTAGGTAGGTAGGTAGGTAGGTAGGTAGGTAGGTAGGTAGGTAGGTAGGTAGATAGATAGATAGATAGGTAGGTAGGTAGATAGATAGATAGATAGATAGATAGATAGATAGATAGATAGATAGATAGATAGATAGATAGATAGATAGATAGATATGAATGAATATTGTCTTCTCATCCTCATATTTGAAACTCAGTCCAAGTTATCAGCAACACTCAATGACTTGATGTATTTGAGGACTACTTTATTACAGTAAGACGAAAAAATGACCTGATGGTTGTTCTTGATTGCTGTTTAGCGACCTCTACTGGTGGTGAGGTAGTAAAAAAAAGTTTAAAACAAAGTTAAACCTTTAAAACAATTTTTATTTACCTTCTATCAAGCTTAAAATGTATAAAACAAATAAAAATAAAATGTTATCTGGTAAAGTGATTTGTTAACACGGTCTTAAAACTCAATACCTCGACTGAGAGTGATTCCCATCAGGCTTTTTTTTCCACTAAATATCCAGTTTGTGGTTTCGGGAAAGACTCCGCTGCTAACAAATTACCATTTACTCCACTTCCCATCGTGCACGTGACTGTAATTGTCGAGAAAGTTTCGTATATCAACTCTAAACAACTCTCCTTTATTTCCCACTGAGATGCGCTGAAGCTTCGAAATGTGATACTCGTTGCCGAGGGAACAAAACATCCACCGTCACCCAAATATGGTCAATGGGAAGTTCGAAGACGTATCGGCCGGCGTCTGGCGTCACGCACGTGCGGCACGCCACGTCGTGCGTAAACCAACCTGCGAGGAGGAATACGCCGATTTGGGTTGTTTTTTCTCCAACAATGGAGGAATGAATAAAAGATGAAGCTGCAGATTCTGCGGCTCCCACTCGGTTTGAAACACGAATCAAGCCCTGACGGCGCTTTACGTAACTCTGGGGCTAAAAATAGAAACGCTGACATCTTTACGCAGCAGAATGCTATGATGCTAATTTTGCTGCACTCTGGCTAAAGCTGGAAATAGCTCATGTTGGCTATTGTAGCCTATTTTATAAGTCTAAAATTATTTGCCTCTAAAACCAGACAAAAAAGGCAATCAGGTCTTAAAAGTTTATGATGTGTAATCTCAATTGAGATATTTTGTGCAATAAACTCTAGCTACATATTGTAATTATGTAAGTCTGCACGCATTTAATGTACTTTTATAAATTATTTTCATAATTTAGATTACATATATTAATATACGTTTTTACATTAGTTTCTCAAGTTAATTTTGCACCTTCTAGCACAACGTTTCTTTGAATCAGGTGTAATTCTGATGAGATGTTTTATCCAGCAGATTTTGTTTATTCTAATGAATAAATAAACAACAGCAAGAAACAATTTGTGAATGTCATGTTTTATTTCTTTTTTTTATAAGTCTTTTTGCATCTGCATCATTAATGATGAGTAAAAAAATAAACTATGCCATAAAATACAGTACATCTTGATAAAATACATGGTGTGATAGTTTTAATGAAAATATTAAGGGGAAATGACATGTCAGGGGGGGACACCTTACACCTAAACGCTGCTACATGTCACTTTTCACTTGTCAAGACTTTAGTCAATAGTGTTACATATATACTGAGCGTGAACTGACGTCACATCACAGGTGTGTGTTTTTTTTAATCACACAAAGATACCAGGTCTTCTTGGAATACAGATGATTTGTATTGCATGCATTTGGATTCCAGCACAAAGTCTCATCTCAGACAATTAAAACAAACTGGAAGAACTCAACCACAGAAAAACTTAAACCAATCTAACACGACCTTTGATGTTTAGGTTTACAGCATCAAAGCATCACACTAAGTTAATATCTGAGGATCGTAGCTTTGCTGGCTGGTTTGGGATACAAACGCGGCGTTTTTTTGTTGCATAACTTCTTCACAAGACCAGAAGTGTCGGAGAGTTGAGGCTGTCGGTCATCAGCTCCGCCGCGCCTCTCAGGGCCTCGCAGCAGTCGGCCGCGGGTTCCACCTCGAAGGAGAACGCCGTGCGGTAGCTGCTACAAGTGGGACTGGAAGACAGGCCGGGCAGCGGCTCGAGGTCGCTCGCCACCGACTTGTACAGGGTCTCCCAGTCTGGGAGGCAGAACGGGCCGCTCAGGTCGATGTCGGGCACGGAGGCGGCCGTCTCGGACGCCGCCGCCATCTCCAGGCTGGGCACCAGGTCGTCCAGGTCGTCTCCTCTCAGGTCCTCCAGGGCGTCGTCCTCGTCGTTCTCCTCGGCGCTGGAGCAGAGGAGGATGTCGGAGTTGCCCAGGATGGCCGCGGCGGGGATGCAGGAGACGGCGTCCAGGTCTGGACCCGCGGGAGGTTCTGCGCCGCTTTCTGGGGTTTTCACGCTCTCCAAGATGGAGAGGAGCTGCGGGGAGGCCGGAGGATCCTGGAGCATCGCGCTGACCTCCTCCTCCTCCTCCTCCTCCCTGTCGCTGTCATCTGCAGGCAGCTTACAGGAAGGCTTGTGGGAGGCTAAGATCTCCTCCAGCCTCTCCTTCTCCTTCAGCAGGTTGTCTATCTCAGTCTGGAGAACAGACTTCTCCTCCTCAAGCGAGTCGGTTTCCTAAAGAAACAAACCTAATGAGATTAAAAAAAAAACATTCCTTTGGAGTGATTTCACCAAATCCTGCACACTTACAGCTTGAAGGCTGTCTATCAGCTCCCTCCGCCTGTTCCGACACTTGGCTGCAGCGATCTTGTTCCTCTCCCTCCTGATCCTTCTCCTCTCCTCCTCCTCTTTGGAAGGCTGAACATCAATCAGAAGAAACAATTAAGCATCCTGCCATGTCTGCAGTTATTGTCCCCACAGCACCATCTCCTCTGCCAAAAAAAAGGGGGGAGAAAATCCTCTTCAGCAGGAAATGCTGATCTAGTCTACCTCTCTCTAATATCGCGCGCGCGCTCTCTGAAATGCTGCACCGCGCTGGCACTGGCAGCTGGACCGTGAACGCGCATTCCTCAGGCAATTTTCTCTCCTCATTCATAATTAACACAGCAGCGCTCCTTCAGCTTTAATCACCCATTAAACACACCTGTGTCGCTCACGCGTCCCTGACTTTTACGCACCTCATATTTTATCACGCGTCTTATCTATAAAAAAAATATCGCGATATTCTCGTTTTCATCTTTATCAGAGTTCAGCCTATTACAGAATTGCATTCACCCCTTAATTGAGCGACTTATTGCTTAATTGAGCCGTTAATTGACTCGGTCGTGTATACCTGCTCCTTTTGCGCCTTCTTGCTGCCGCAGGCTTTCGCCTTCTTTGCGCCTGCAGAGGACGTCTGCGCTGCGCCGCGCGTTTTGCCTTTCCCGCACGGCGACGGTGCGATGGCTGTGGGCTGCACCATCCACTTCAGCTCCGGCGACGTTGAGACTGCGGTCAGCGTGGGAACAAAGGAGGAGGCTGCCGTGGCACCGTCCTGCATGGATGGATGGATGGATGGATGGATGGATGGGGAAAATTACGCACACACGTCACTCATGAATTCATCATGTTTCTGATGCATGGGGGTAAGGGGTGTGTGTGGAGGGGGATCAGTCACGTATTTTTATGACCTTTACCCATATTTACATGGTGTCACAAATCATAAGGAAAAGAAATGTCAACGAGATCTAAATCTGCGCAAGACAAATGACGCGCGTATTTTGGTGAAATGAAAAGGTCGCAGCATAAACTGATGTAAGGAAAACAATAATAATCACACTGTACATCCAAAAAAAAGAGTTGCACAATAAATTATTTTATTCATCTTTTTTATTATTATTTATTTATTTTTAGTTTTAAAATTTTAATTTAAGGATCTTACCTTGCCTATTGATGATGACAGCGAGTCAGAAGGAGACTGGCTGCACCCAGGGGTGTCCCCGCCAGGCGATGATGCTGCCGGACAGCTGGAAGATGTGTCGAAGTCATCAGTGGTGGTGTCTGGATGCATGTTTTTTTTTAAAGATTACAGCATTAAATCAGAAGAAATAATATTAATAAGAAAACGGAGGAAAAAGATCTAGCCGCCCGTGCCTGCGTTCACTTGTACTCCCATTTGCCAGCTTTCATAAATGGTAACTGTGCAGATGTAGTGGAGAGGCCCGCCTTTTATAGTGAGCAGGAATTTTATGAATGAAATCGGAGTGAGACCGAACCATTCCGCGGAAGGAGAGCCGGCTGAGAGAAAGACGCAGCGCGCGCTTTGGACTTTAACCTTTAAATCCCTCCGCACGCCTGGGCTGCAGCGTTCTGCGACCTTTTAGTGCTCGGGCTTTCTGTTCACTCCAGTGCCCCCCAAAATAGCCAGCCCGAATGGAGTGACACCCCCGCCATGCAGAAGGAGCCCACCACCATGAATGAACTACGTCACTTTATGTATGCAGCATCTGCATCAGACGGACATGATGGTATTCATATAAATCACGACATGATTCGGGGGTAACAGACATGTTGTCCTATAAATAAATCACATTTAATAAAATGTGTTATTTTTTTTAATATTTTTCTGCAGCTTAAATCAGATCATGATGATGTAAGTCCCATCAGCTGTTTGAACCAAAAAGATCAAACGAGTCATGATTTAATACCCCTCCTCCATTGGTGTTTAGTTATTATTATTATTTTTAATTAATTTATGGAAGACAACTGCTTATCACACAGCTTTTCTCCTCCCGAATACCAGCAACAGAACTGTCGCTGGAACAATCGCTTGAATGGACTGGCCGAGCCAAATATGGCGTTTCCGGG